GTGTGTGTGTGTGTGTGTGTGTGTGTGTGTGTGTGTGTGTGTGTGTTTGGTTTAATTTGGTTTGGTTTCTAACTGCGGCTTTATTTCAGCTTGATCATCTCTTCACTTCCTATTAGGGCTCACTTTCTCAAAAACACCGGAGTGGGTGCTTCTGAACGTGACCTCCACAGTGACTCAGGAGCCAGGAAGTAGAGACGCTGGTACCGCCTTGAAGCAGTTCCCACGATTTCATTTTCTTTTCATTCTTTCCTTCTTGCCTCTTTTTTTCCTTTTTCAAAGACCAGAGAGAGCCGTGCCCCACCAGGAGGGAATTCTCCTTTTCTGCTCTCAGTAACTTCCTGTCGTTCTTGAGGCACTGCTTAAGCTGTTTCTCAGCAAAGGGAGGAGTTGTTATTTCCACACGGGTCTCCAAAAATGAGTCACAGGGCTGCTCTCTTAATGGTGAGACTTTGCTAATCAACTTATGAAAAGCAAGGTTTGCTGTCTTTGTATTTAAAATAAGACTCTAGGTGGGAAGGTGACCAGGGCTGCCCAACTGGATCAGGGCTGTAGGAAGTCATAGTTCAAGTTTTAAGTTTCCTAAAGTGCCGGGTAGGACAACACACCAGCTAGGGTCACTAGGCTGATCTCAGATAATAACCCTGAAAATCGTGTGCTTTGCTACAGAAAATCAAGGGGAAAATTAACTTCCTCGTTCAGTAACCATCTTGCTATTATTTTCACTGTGTGGTAGAAATATGTCAGTTCACGAAAGTCGCTCTCTGAGACCAAAATATTTTGGAGAGTTTGTCTTTATGGAATTGGCGCTAAAACCACGTGGAAAGCTTTTGAAGACAGTGGATGCCTGTTGGGGCCGAGGAATTTGAGTGTCTGAGCAGACAGCACCAATCGTGGCTGGCTGGGCACACAGGAGGGACATAGCATCTGTCTGAGAGCTGAGTTCAGCCCAGGCGGCAGGTGCCCGCGGCCTTCCTGTGCTGGCCTCCCGCTGAGCTGTTACACAGCCGGGAACAAGAAAGGATGCTGCGCAGGAGGGCCTTGGAGCCTCGCGGAGGCTAGCGGATGCGAAGCAAACCCCGCCATAATGGGATGGGGTCACGATGAATCGATACCAGAATGGAATTTCTGTCCTGTTTGGACTGATGTTTCTGCCCACCTGGGACTTGGAATGTGCAGGATATTGCTGAAAGAGCTTGACTTTGTGAGCACCCTATTCTTCTTTCCATGGTCACTTAAAAATATTCTAAAGAGATACGCTTTCAAGATGTTTGGTTAACCATATTTCATATTTTTTTAATGACCATGTAAAAATAAACCCAGGCTATTATCACTCCTAGCCAGTTGCAGGTGCTTTTACCTATGTGCTGTTTGAAAACATAGATTGACTAATTAGTGGTTTATAACTTTATAATGCTATATGCAAATAACTTTGCACTCATTGTTTTTGTTGAGTAGACCTCCTTATCCAAGGTTTGCTTTCCATGACTTCACCTACCAAGATCAAGTGAGGTTCAAAATATTAAATAGACATTCCACAGATAAACAGTAAGGTAGTCTCAGAGAAAAAGACCATGTCCACATAACTTTTACTCTACTATGTTGTTACAATTCTTCCATTTTGTTATTAGTTGTTATTACTCTCGTACTGTGCCTCATTTTTAAGTTAAACTTTATCACAGGTATGTGTGTATAAAAATGCATTATGTATAGGGTTCAGTACTATCCAGTTTCAGATATCCCTTGGGGTGCTGGGCTGAACCCCCCCAAAATAAAAGAGCACTACTGCATATTAAATGTTCCCAGTTATCTAAGGAATCCAACTAGCTAAGGAACTAGTGCTAAATTTGAAACAAATCTTAGTGTCCATATTCTATTTCTTCTTTAAGAGTTTCAGAGTGACTTACTGAATGAGAAAGGAAGGATGGGGTGGGTTATTCGGTGTTATATTCCCCGAGCTTGGTGTAGGCCTGACTCTGACAAGTGTCAGGAAGTATTCAGTGATTAGAGAATGACCTTTAGCAGAGGAGGAGGAGTTGTCCGGTGGATTGAGGGGTAGGTGACCCAGCAGAAAGAACAGCACACGCGGAGGAGTGAGACAGCGTGTGTGGTCAGGAAACTGCAGCCTGGCTGGTGTGGGCAGGAGGGG